GCATCTAGCAATAACTCAAAAGCAGTTCGGCACATATTATAGCGGTGTAAACTAAAAATATTAAAGTATCTGTCTTGGATTTTTTCCCAGGCTTTTTGTAAAAGCTGCTCATTTGATAGATTTCGGATATCGCCTAAATATAATGACATTACTAATAAACCTTCTGCTCTGTTTCTATCTAAGGTTATTGCATTACTCATTTTCTCTCTTCTTTCTCGTAAAAATCAAATATTATTAAAGCAACTAATTCGATACTTTCTAAAATCCAAGGTAATGTGCCGAATTTTCTAATTGATTTATAAATTAAAAGGCACATGTATAATATCAAATATGGGCATCGGTAATACGTCGTACGTACGTGAAACAGTACTTAATATAGTTATAGTTACGTACGTATTGGTGTTTAATTAAGGAATCAGCAAGTTATAAAGAAAAAACAGCATGACTATTAAAATATAACTTTATAGAAATAATTATTATTATTAATATTTTAAATGACAAATATTTTTTCCTCTTATGTCAAAAACCTTTGAAGTATCTTTTTTCGAAATTTACGTATCAATGAAATTAAGCTTGAAATTTGATTGGTTGACTTGATCAAAATATATATTTGCGTGTCTAATTTAAAAATGTACAAAAGCAATAAACAAAGTGATAACCTTTCGTTTGTATTCAAGTACTATTAAAGAATACTAGATTTCCGGCTTTTGGAACTTCGAAGTAAGTAAATTTAACCTTGAAAATTCAAAGCCTAAAATCTTGTTTTCTTTTAGTAGCGCTAATCTATGTATTAATATTATTTATGTAAATAAACCTATCGAAATATTTAAATAAATTTATTGTTAGATTGTTGGGATTTTTTCTTTTTTAATATTTCATTGTTAAAAACTTGAATTAAATGCTATACATACGTATGTAAGTAGTCCGTTAACACTAACCCTGTAAGAAAAAATGGCACGTAGTACAGTCAAAAATGGCACGGGAAAAACAACCATTACGTACCTCCGCAAAAAATTTAACGTGCAAATCACGGTCACAAACCGTTCCTTCACTGCTATTTTTGTAGAAAAACGTGCCAAAATCCGTGGATTTTGGTTTACTAAACTGCTGCAAAATCCGGTCCATTTACTGTTCAAAATTTACGGGTAAACGTGCCAAAAATGGCACGGTTAAAAGAAACCATCCCGTCACTCACGTGTCAATCACGGTGCACTATCCCGTGCCTTTCCGTTATTTTAGTGAACGTGCCAAAATACATGTATTTTGGCTTAGTAAACTGCTGCAAAATCCGGTCCATTTGCGGTCCAAAATTTACGCGTAAGGCACGGGACATCACACGTACCACCTTTCTTACAGGGTAAAATTACTGGCAATTATTTCCTGATGCTTTGCTTTAAATCTTAGGGTATTAATTTGCAAATCCTTGTAATGTATAAATCAAAATACAGTAAAATGAAAAATTAAACGTAGCCTAAAATTGGCGTAAGGGCAGGTTTGGGACTAGAGTTAATTTAAACCAAAATTTCGAAAGGGATTTTTTTTTTTATTAGTACCCAAAAGGTGGTTGCATAAGCGAAATTTTGAGTTATAAACGGTTTTTTAAAAAAAAGCAATAAATTTTACATTACAACTTATCGTGTAACCTGGTTGGCTTTCTATATATCCGTGTATATTTACATAGTGTACAAATAGAAATTGCCTATAATAAAATTACCAATTATTAAAAATATATTGTAACAAATATAATAAGAATAATATATAATATTATATAAATATACATATATAAACAAAAATAATTATTATACCGTATAAAAAAGGGGAATTTACAAATAAAGGCCTGGAAAGTGAAACTAATTACAAATCCGAGCCCAAATTAAAAATAATTACATATAAGAATCTAATTTTTAAGAAATATTACATATAAGGACCCAGATTATCGATTGTTTAATTATAGTATTAATAGTTATCTATATACCGATTATTAGATAAAAGGATAAATGTAGCTCTTATTATAATCAGTTTTGCCTAAATATTGTATAAAAAATAGTGTTAAACTAGCACAATTATTTATAAGGCGAAAAGGTTTCAACAGAGTAGCTCTCTAGACTGAACGAACATCTTCCATATTAGTAAATGCCATGCCAATTCGCAGTGCTTTATTTGGCATCATAGTGGCTTGTTATAACAATATGCAACTTTATACAAAGAAAATGAAATTTATTAAATTTAAAAAATTTTCTCATTTATAATTACTAATTTACAATCGAC